ACAACTAGACTGAAGAACAAAAGGACAGCAACTTGTCTGTTCCCCTCCCCCAATTTCCCAATAAAATCCTTAAGAAAAAAACCACAAAATCTCATTTGACAATGACATAGCCATGAATTATGCAATATCTATCTTCCTGGTCAAAACACACATCATCCCAGGTATCTTATCTTCTTCCCCTTAATCATTACCTCTGTTCTACACCCCTTCAAGGTGCAGCAAGCACATCCTATTAAAAATGCTTTCCCCCCCAGAGCATCCCGATACAACGTCTGGGAACATGCGCCTCAGTCTGAGCTTCAGTCCACGGGGCTGACCAATGTGTCTGGTAGTATTTCTTGTAGGACAGGTCTGCTAGCACTGTTTCAATGTTTTTTTAAATCTGGGGATGCCTTTATTTTGCCCTTAGGTTTTAAAGGGTGGTTTTGCTGGATAAAAACTTATTGGTCGACAGTTTTTCTTTCAGCACCTTGAGTATCTATCTCACTTCAGTGGCTATGGCTTTCACTGTTTCTGATGAGTAGTGAACCACTAATCATATGTCATTCTCCTGCACATTCTCTGGCTGTTTTTAAAACTTTCCCTTTGGTTTCCAGCAGTTAACAATGTGTCTAGCGATGGATCTCTGTGTAGTTATCCTATTGGGGTTAATAGAGTTAGAACTGTAAATTAATGTCCTTCACATTTATTAGTTTTAGCCATTAATTTTTCAAATGATTTTTTTCTGGCCTTTCTTTCTCTTAGCTCCTTCTAGAATTCCCGTTTCATGTATGTTGGTACTCTGTTCAGATTTTTTATTACGTTTTTAGTTTGGCTTCTTGAGCATCGCCCTGTGTCTCTGTCTCCTTAGCTTGGTTGCCAGCCAATGATTTGGGAAGATGTGCTCAGATACCTCGGCCACGTGTCTGCGTGTGCTGGGGAAGTGCGTCCACAGCTCACCCACTTGTCAGATCTGCCTGGGCTTTTACTTTCTGCTGGGTTTTCTGGAGTCTCCCCTGCGCATTTGCAGTTTCTCAGCCAGCCAGGGATGTGTTGAG